CTCTTGTTTGACCTTTATAGTACTGCTACAACATTAGCATTCTTCCTGTTTTTTGGAATTTCCCCAGTATTCCAAGATTTATTTAAAAATTTAACTTTAGCGGGCCAGAGATCTTCTCAGCCAACACTTTTGGGACTCTTGGGTACAAGTTATCGAGGCCTGCTGATTTAAAAATATTTATCCCTAATACATGCTGTTTAACTATCTCCTCAGTTACTAATGGACTGGAAAGTACTCAATCCTCCATATATGATACCAGTACATCATCCTTCTTTCCAAATACAGAACAGAAATATTTATTGACTACTTCTGTCTTTTCTGCATTGCTATTAACAAATGTACTGTCTCCATCTAGGAATGGGTCTACACCATTGTTAGGATTTCTTTTGTTCCATACTAAAAAAACTCCTCCGTGTTGTCCTTGGCCCTGTCAGCAAGGGATTTTTCCCTGATTTCATTAGTTTCCTTTATCTATTTTCTGCACTTTATTACTTCCAATTTAAATTGATTGCTACTTGATTTCCCTTTTTTCCATTTGTTTATATATTTTTAATTGATGTCTTTATTTCCCCTCTAAACCAGGATGGGCTTTTAACCCAAGTTTTCCTCTTTGGTGACTGTAGAATTGTGGCTCTTTTGGACACATAATGAACTCTTCTTAAGCAACTACCAATCTTCATTCATATTTTTGTGTCTAAAGGTTTTCTCCCAGTAAGTTTCACTCATAATATTCTTCAGCTTTGGAAAATTACCCCTTTTGAAGTACTTAGTGTATACCTTTCTGGTTGGGTGTGTCCTCTGTTTGCTCATGCTAAATATAAACAGCATGTAATATGGTGAGAGTACATTAATTCCTTATCCACTGGGTTCCTCATGTCAGGACCAACAGATACAAGCACAACCCCAACAGCCTGGGGTCCTATATGTAAAGGACTTTGAGATCTGTGGGTGAAAGGCACTAGTTGTTCCCCAACTGCACCCTTTGCAGGTATTCTGGGAAGGTGACGTGTCAGATGCCAGTGCTTTGACTTATGCAGGACTGGAAGAGGGACTCTGGATAGGACAGGTGTCTATGCAGTTTTTGCATCTCACTGGATTTTATCTCCCCTTTACCACATTTTGGAGGAAGTATGTTTTCTCTTGCATTGACCTTTTCTATCCTTTCTGGATCTCAACAGAAACTCCAGTCTCCTTGTGCATGCTTGTAAATATTAGATTTTCTCAGGCAGGAACTTATTCCCTGAGACTAGTTTTATGCACATACACTCACCTGTATAAAATATATGTACACATACAAACAGTATATCTAGTTACATTTTAATTATATCAGGACAAGAAAGAGTTAAATAGTAATAGTAGCAAAATATCAGTATTATAATTTTACTGCTGAGGCAGCATAGACAGATGTTACCGAGAGTACAATTAATACTACACTCATACCCTTAAGCCAGAAAGAGTCATACCTAATTCCTGGCAGGTTATATAAAGAAACCCATTATTAGAGACCCTGAGAAATGAGGTGGGAGGAGTAAAATGTGTTTTTTCTGACATTATGGTATCACTGAAGGACTACCCAGAACAAGGAGACACGTACTGCAGTCTGAAGTCATGGCAGTGACGCAACCTAATGTGCCAGCGAGTGGAGTAGCTTGGCACTAGTCTGGGCTAACTGGATTCCTCCTGCCCAAATCACTGTGTGCTCACCGAAGTCAAGTTAATCTTAATTGTATTGTATTTCTCATGTCCATGTAAATGGAGAACGGGGCTGTTTTGGATCAGATTCATGAAAACTTAACAGCAGCTAGTGGTTACTGAGGATGTGTCTGGGATGCTAACAGTGGAGTAAGAACCAGAAAAGCTCAAAGGACAAAATAAATGAGATGGGAAGGCAAGTTGGCTCCTGATGAAGCAGGAGAGAGCAACAGCCCTACTATAAATGAGAATGCACACGTTTCATCGAGGCCAACTCACATGCAGCCACGCAACCCCCTTAGCCACCCAGAGTGCTTCCCCAGTATCTGTCCACTCTCCACTGGGACCTGAGCACTCCCATTTCTAGACATTCTCCAGACATAGATATTGAATATGGTGCTTCTAGCCATGCTGCATATAGCTGTTTCTAGAGACTTGACTCCCATTGGATATGACTAATTTTGAGTCAATTGTTGCGATCAATCTTTTGCAAAATAGGTTCAATGCCCAAATCATTTCTATATCTGCTTGTGTGGGTAGATGAAAACTCCTGTTCCCATGTGAAATGGTGGAGTGACTGAGGGAATTTTTTCAGATTAGCTACAGTTTGAATCTTATTCATTTTGGACTAGATTCACAAAAGGACTTAGGCCTCTAACTGCCATTTTAGGCACCTGTATTCCAGAATGAAGCCCCACTGGGATTCACAACCCCATAATCTGCCACTGAAGCCAGTAGGTGTCACAACTTGCTTGGCACCTAAATTTTTGCAGTAAGCATTCTCTATGTGCCTACATTTCTGCATGTGCACTGCAGCCCTACCCCAGACCTCTGGATACCTAAGCCCCAGAACGATGCATGAGCTGGGGGAATTTAGGCATTCCTCTGCCAAAGTTGCCTGTGGGGATTGATCCACCAAGTGTGGTCATAGCTCATCTACTAAATTGGATCTCTATAGGGGATGCAAAATGGCCGGGTGGCAAAGAGGACCTCCCTCATAACTTTCAGCTCGCTGGTTAGAGTACTCAACTGGGATGTTGTGAGATACATCGTCCCTCCCCTCCGCATTCAAGTCCCCTCTCTACTGGAGAGACAGAAGAGATTTGAACAGGGTTGTACTACATTTCAGGTGAGTGCCTACACACTGAGCAAGGGGATATTCTGATGTGGGTCTCCATCAGTCTCTGCTGTTGAAGCTGTTCCATTGTAAAGAAATAATTTTAAAAAGTAGTTGGAGCAGGGAGACTGGATCCTGAGTCTCCCAAGTAGTGCTCTAACCATCAGGATAGAGAGTCATTCTCATGCTTGAGATCTTTCTTGCTCTGGTTGAGTGAGTCATTATTTATTTACAGTGGAACAGCTTCAACAGGACAGACTGAGGGAACCACATATCAGAATGTCCCATATATAGCCCAGTGAGTGCGGCACTCATCTGACAGATGGCAGATCCTTTGTCACCTCAGGTGGAGATGGGTCTTGAGCTGGAAGTCTTCCACATCCCAGGTGAATACCCTAACCACTTGCTAAAAGTTATGAGGGAGCATCTACTTGCAAAAATGGTGTCGTCACCTAACCACATGAGAGAGTTTGCAACTGAAAATCCCAAGCAATGCAAGGTGCTGAACTTCCTGAGTGGAGGAGAGCTTAGGACACCCCCCTCTTCTTGGAATCTCCCATTGGCTAGTTGAGATGGGGAACTGCCTAGCATGCTGGCTTTTGCGAATCCCATTCTGGGATGCCTGTCTCTCCCCATTCATTGTACAGGGAGCCCCAGTGCCTGACTTCGACTTCATTAATCCCAGTGATTTTCTAGGCACCTGAAAGTTAGGCATGGTGCCACTCAGCATCTCCACATCTAAGTTCCTTTGTGAATCTAGCCCTTTCTGTGCATGCTACTGCCTCTTTGTTATATCTGTCTGGTTTCTGGTCACATTGCATCCAGTGGGAGCCAGAGTTAAGTCCTTCCCCAAAATAAACAATTAGGGGAAAATAATCATCTGTAATTCCTATAGCAGCTCTCAGTTCTAAGCACCCAGGTTGGCTATATGTCCATGGTAGCCTTTTTGTCATGATGTTACTGTCCTGTGTAGTCACTAAACTCATCAATAAAAGCTTTTTTAAAGCTACACTTGGTTTAAAAGGCTGAGAGGAAAATGAGTGTTAAAGTAATTAGATTTCCAGTCCCAGTTTCCATGTGAGGATATAAGTGGAACATTTGTTCCAATTACATTTGCCTTATAGTTCAGTATGAATTTTCAATAGATAGGTTTGAGATAAGAAAGCAGCAATTCAGATGCAATTATATAAACAGTATGCTCAGCCTGGTATTAGCTTGGAGAGTATAAAGCACAGTGAGAGCTTGTGCTGGGTCACAGCCTCTCCAACTCCACAATGCAGACACAGGCTACTGTACTGAGGAAAGATTCAGCTGCCAACAGGTTGGTCTTTGCAGGTTCAGCATTGTTGCAGCTACTGGGTGTTGTAAACTGGACAACATAATGGCTTTGGCTGGGGAAACTAGAGGCTGAGAGAGTTCAGAGGATGATGTCCATAAATTTGTAGACACTGTCAGTTTAACTTTGTACTTTGGAGGCTGTTGAGCAGACCCTGGAGCTAATCAGAACTTCATTCTAGGGATCCCTCAGCATGTATGCGAAAGGTCAGCAGAGCTGGTAGATGGTTGATTGATTTGAACTCTTTACTGATGTTCTGTCATTTGTTGTCATTTACTAGAATGTTACTTAAATTACTGGCAGTGTGCATATCTCACCAGCTCCAGTCAATGGGCCTCTAATTAAAACAGCCAGTTGGAGCGTCAGAAGTGTGATTATGTAGTCTGTCTACACAGCCATTTCTTTTCATTTTTTCACCGTTTTATAGGACTTGCTTTCTTTAAAGCCAATGGAATGGTTTTGGGTTTGAACTCTAGCGCTCATTGTTTCTTTCGTTTGTCACATTTCTTAGATCCTTTAGTAGGGAGGGTTGGGGATACTTCCTGCTATTTTATTGTGTCAGCATTTTAGGACTCATTAACAGAAAGTTCCGTGTAATGGGATTTAATAGGAGGAAGTGAACATGAGATTTGTCTCATTGTTCCACGTTTTGGCACCCTGCCTCTGGCAGCAGTCAGTACTATTTCAGATAAAGGACTGAGGGTAGTGGAACTTTGTCAGGTTCTTGTTAGATATAATTTCGTTGTCTTTCACTTTTGGGAATAATATAACTGGTTCCCCAGTGACTGCTTTTCAGAATATGGCAGAAGGCCACATCTAACGCTTTCTCCTTTGATATTTTGTCTTTTCATCTAGCATGAGTCCCATCTTTCTGATGTCCCTTCTCTTTGGCCTGACTTTTGGGCAAGCAATGTCTTTTTGTGCTCCCATTGAGTATATCATCCACGTGGAGAAGAGAGAATGTGCCTACTGCCTGGCCATCAACACAACCATCTGTGCTGGATTCTGCATGACACGGGTACCAGGCACTATTCTGTTCTAGGCGGGTGCTTCTGTTGTGCCCACTGCTGTGGTATGAACATCTGAGCTCACTCATTAATTCCTCTAGAAAATCAGCGGGACAAACTATTAATTTCTTACATTATTTACAATAGATAGAAAATCACACACTTGCCACATTTGGCAAATCATTCAGACACAGAGGCGATGCAGGGAGGTGGGAGAAGCCATCTGATGGATCTGGTGCCTATAGCAAAAATCTTGTAGTAGAAGATTGGCAGCTGCCGCTCACATTGCAATGGCTTTTTCTCCTATGAATTTGGGGGTTAGGATGGAAAAGAGGTTCTTCTTCCATTTAATGAGGGACAGAATTTTTCTTAGATTACTAAGTGAATTGTTTCAGTAACTTCTGCCTCATCATGTGTGCAGCTGGTAAGTCAATGCACTGATCACAGTGATGGCAGTACGGTGTGGGGAGAGAGGTGTCTCTCACACATAGGCAGGTCCCCTGCTACCCTTAGAGCCAGCACCTAAAATTCCACCCTTAAACCAATAGGCAGCCAGTGCAGGTCACGGAGCTCTGGTGTCACGTGTGGATTTACCTCAGCCAGGCAGCAGGTGCAGCATAATGTGGAAGTCTTTATAGAGATGTGGAGACTATTCACATGCAGATTTTCAGTGAGAGATCTCAGTAGAACTACACTAGAAATGCAGCCATTACAGTCTGCAGGGAAAGATGCCTGCCTTCTGAACACAATCAGAATGACTCAGGGTGGTCTTGAGTCTCTGGGTCACTTGTGTGTCCTTCAGTAAAACAGAATAACATCTCTCTTTTTTTTTTTGTAGGACATCAATGGTAAGAAGCTACTCCTCAAAAGTGCCCTGTCCCAGAATGTGTGCACATATAAAGACATGGTGTACAGAACAGTGGTACTCCCTGGCTGCCCACGACACACTGTCCCCTATTACTCTTACCCAGTGGCCACGAACTGCAAGTGTGGTAAATGTAACACTGATTACAGTGACTGCATTCATGAGACAGTCAGGACAGACTATTGCACTAAACCACAGAAGCCCTATAATGTGTGAGCTTATTACTGAATGAGGTAGAAATGTACCTTCTGCCCCACAGTTAGCTAGTGGCTATCTATAACTGAGTCATAAATAAAATTGTATTTCACAACAGATCTGCAAGTTGGTCTGTAGAATTTTTTAATCTAAAGGAATCCTAGCAAATTTACTGTTGTATCACCCTGCTAGGACAAAGCAACTACAACATTGGAGGGCACTGATGGAAGTGAAGGGAGGCAAAAAGGATAAAAAAATAACTGGTGTGCAGGGAGGAGTTAGGCATTGCCAGGGGGATGCGCCCGGGCCTCTTGGATGGTGATCTAAGGTGTGGTGATCTGCTGCTTTGTCACCTGATTGATTGTGATTATTTTAGATCTGTTCCTTGACCCTTGGTGCCTTCTAGATTGAGTCACTGCAGTGTGCTCATTTCCTCTTTGCTCTCAGGTGCTGACATCCATGTACACAGCTTAATACTGTCTGTCTGAGAGATGCCTCTCCCCATGAGTAGTGTCCTTGGGTGCGCAAACTATATGTCCGTGGCTTTAAACATCTGGTTGGGAATTCCAGAATCAAGGACTTTGCACTGAGAAACCCCCTTCCCCACTTGACTGAAGGAGCCTGCGTCTGTTGAGCTTTATGGCTTATCTGTAACTTATGTTGAAGGGTAAAGGGAGTGGGGGCAAGCTGAACCTTCTGTCTGAATTTTGTTTGTAAAGATTATATGAAATGTGGTTTGGACATATTGGGCACATTTGGTCACTTTAAAAAAAAATAAAATAGGTGGCACATGGTCCTCTCCCAATGTACATTAAGTGAAATTACACATGCCCTGCTCCTCAATTTGGGGGCTACACCCACTCTGTGCACAGTAAGTGGCAGCCTTCTCTTATGTACTGAGCAGGCATGGGTGAAGAGTCTGTGCCCATTTGTAGGGAAATAACAGTAGGTGAATGAATGAATTTTTGCCTCACTATGAACCCCTGCAGCTGTGAAACAGCAACAGGTGGCTCAATGGTAAGCTATAAATAAAACAGACCAAACACACAGTGGCAGGGCGAGGTAGTTTCTAGCAGGTGGTTCACAGCAGGGGAAAAAAGCTGCAGAACCCACTTATGGAATTTTACAACCCTAGCATTCACATGTCTATTTTATTAACAGAATTGCAGAAGTCAGAGATGGAAAAGGGCCATTCAGTCCCTTCTCGCCTCTGCCCAAGTCAATTTCCATACACTTATCCAAAGACTGCATGGGGGCCATGCAGGGCTGCAGCAAAGAAAAAATATGCCTCACTAATACTGAAGGATCACTAGCTTTTACTGCAAGGTGGTATGGCAGGCACAGGGTCTGGATGGCTTCTACGAAGTTGCCATTCATGTCATAAAGGGCTTCAAGCTTTCCTTGCACCATATACATTTAAATCCCAGACTGCACACTGTGGATTTGGGGAAGGGGCCAAAGATACTGACCAGTTTATTCCTCCGCAAACAACAACAACAACAAAAAAAACTGGGAGCAGCCATTACATGAGCTCACTGCCAAGGAAAAGAAATGGCTAAATGTAATCAAAGGTAATATTTTAACATGGTTAAAAACTCTTTATCCAGTTTTACCCTCAGGTGCAGCTCCTAGCAAGTTCAATGGTTACACTGTATGTTTGTTTGAGGGAAGAACTGGTCCCTAATTGCTGAGAACTTCAAGTATGGAATGAGTTATGCTAACCAGTTCAAGTAGCACCTATGTCTCTGCTGAACAATCATGGGTTTATGAGCATACAAAATTGTCTGAGGGCTTTCTCTAGAACCCATATTGTAAGTGATACATAGGCCTTGTACAGGATGAATTTCATCCTGAGTGCCTATCTAAGATAGTTTGCCTACTGTGCATGTATGGTCTGAAATGGCTTCTGTTTTTAGCTGTCACCAAAGCAACCACCTTCTTTACAAGGAAATGCTTCAAGTTGTAAACTATGACTTTTTATAAGCCCTAGCCTTCTGTTCCCAATTAATTGTGAAGAGTGAATTAATGAAACAGCATTGATGGATCAGAGAACAAAGAGAAATACCTAGTCTGGTAGCTGGATAATCAAGTGCAGTTAATAGAGAAAGACTTGGCCCCAAACCCGTTTAAAAAATATGTCGTTCATGTTCCCTTCATTAAATAATGAAATCCCTTCAACAGCATGTCCTTAACCTCCATGTAAGACTGAAGTCTTTAATCTGTCCCATTAAATCCCACTACCTACTGAAGTTCCAAATCAACTACCCCTAATGTCTGATCACGCTATCCTCTGAAAAGTACACAAAATTCAGTAAAGCAGCTATGGTCATTTCACATATAGAGATTTATATCTCTTACAACCCTCAGCACTGGGAGACATTTCCATACACTAACAATATGCAGACTCCTATACTGCACTGGTTGTTGGTGTCACAAGTCTGACTCGTGGTGCAAAATAGGAAATGCCATGAAAAGGAGACATACAGCATCCCCAAGCTGGGGTGCAACACTGAGCAGCAGCCCAGGGATACGTTGTCCCAACTTTCCGTTAACTTTAGTTGATGAGTAACAGTTTATTCAGGGAACCCCAGATTCACTAAGAATGTAAGTAAATCAGTCTGAGTTGCCATTTGTTTCTTGGGTCCTCTCTATACCGATGATTCTTGCAGGTTCTGTTCCAACGTGTCCATGGCATGAGGAGTTAGGATGAAAATCTGCCATATTGGGAAAGCTCAACAAGGAACTCCCCTACTCCAGTAAAGTAAATAACTTGAGCTACACCAAAGAGAGGAGCAATGACTAATGCTCTGCAGCGAGCCCCAATCAGGAAGGCAAGGCGACCCTCCTTCCACCAAATTTTCCTGAAAATAGAAGACAATATATATTGTTTTTGTTACCAGGCTCTCAAACAGGTCATTTAATGTTCATGCTACCACTGCACACACAGTGTTTTTCCTTATACGTGTTCAGCTTTCATGAAAGAGAGAGAAAAAACACAAATGTAAACCTGTGGCAGCAGCATGTCTGTCTAATTCAGCACTAATGCTTCACAATCTATTAAAAGCTAAGAATATATTCTAATGGTAGGAGTTCTTAGATCACTGTCAAGACAGACTTCCAGCCCCATGCCACTGCACTGAGATCAGTGCAAGTTCGGAGCCTAAATGCCTTTGATCTAGGTGAAAGTGTATTGACATTTACATGATGGTAGACAGCTAAGAAGGGCTCCCACTTGTATAGTTCACCAATGCCATTTCCCTCATGGGTGCACACAGCTGTCCATACCTAAGTGGAAACAATACAATGATGAAGGATATCACCACATTTTTGTTGGTGATATGGTGTTTGAGCGGAGGCAGTTCATATCCAGGCAGTGGCTGATTCTCAGTACTTCTGCACTGAGGGACAAGACTGTTATTACTTGTGTTTTAGCAAATAAGAAAATGAATTCACATTCAGCAAAAAATATCCCATTTATAAACGAATTGGGATATTAACTCCCTGGCTGTCTGCCTAGTGCTACAAAACTAGTTCACCATTAAGAATTCATTGATCTCCACAATTACACAAAATGACTCAAAGCCACAAAGAGTACAATTCTGAAGGCTGTCCAAGTCATAAACACCCTTAATTAGTCGTTTTTGAAAAATATTGCCCACCATCATTCTTCATTTGTTACCTTGCACAGTCAACAAGTCCGCTGTAGCTGTCCTCATTTGTTCCTTTGGTTAGTGACAGGAGCCGTGTCTTTATTACTGGAAAATCAAAATGTTCCATGGTAAAGCATAGTATTGGCTTGAACAGATTTACACAGGCAGGGCCAGGAAAGGACCCCTGAATGCTGTTTGAAGACACACATCTTGTCTGTTATCCATACTAAGACTTTTCTTGTTTTATTTTAGTAGACAGCAGAGACCAGAATGAGCTCCTCTGCCCCATACCCAGAAAGATGAAGGCAAGTGTGTTCAATGCTGTTTGACTCCCCTTCTAGCCTAAAAAAAGTGCCATGTGTTTCCACTGACATGGTTGAACACTGAACAGTTACCTGCCCAATGTTCCACAGAGCTGCTGGTGTTGGTGTCTCATGTTATTTGTACTGTATAAGAACATACGGACTGCAACACTGATCAGACCATTGGTCTGCCAGTCTTGCCTTCTGCAATAGCCAACACTTAATGCTTCAATAATGGTGTATAATACACCTACCAAGATATTCCTCCTCCTTTCCAAATCAATAGAAAGTTTCATTCATGTCTGTGTGAAGTAGCTGATATTGACTTTTAATTTCCATTGAGTTTTCCTGGAGTCATCAGCATTCTTTGTTGGGACATCCTAACAGCACTCAAGGGCTGTTTTTAAGGTCCCATTGGTACAGCTGCCCTCCTCAAAAACAACTCTTCACTAATCCATGGTACCGCTGTTGAGGTGCCTATCTCAAAGCACAGACAGGAAGGGGATTGTTCTTCAAGCGATGGTCCCTATGTGGATTCCAAATGTGTAATAAAAAGCCTCTTACCATCACATGGATTGACAGACACTGCTGCCACAGAGCCAGCCAGACAACCAGCTAGAAATAACTGATAAAACGGGGCTCTCTCCTCCAGAGACTCCTGTCCTCCTCTGTACAAACGTGCAAATAATGGAAAGTAGATGATGGAGAAGGGAACATCCCTGAGTAAAGAAGACACCATGTTTACATAACACCCCTTGATCAACAGTTCTCACCAATGAAAGGAGAAAATGAGAAATGTATCATTACCACCTCAGTAAAGTGGCTCCAAGACCCCTGTAGAGTCCCTTAATGCCCTCTGTGTATGCAGAAGTGCAGCTGCTATCTGTGTAGCAGCTCCAGTGTTATATGCTCTGGTCAGGGGAGAGCTGACAGCTGCAAGTTTATAGCCAGAACTTGAACAGTGGATTCCACTTGCAAGCTGTTGAGATGCTGAAATGAAGCCAGAAATGTCAAGCTTACTTATTTCCTGGCACTCTTCCTGAAGTTTCAGATCTAGTTCTTCATCCTCAGTACAATGAGGCTGGAGAATCTGGTCATGGCCACCACCCAAAGCACCTTCTTACAAGAACTGGCCTGCACTCAAGAAGTCTCATACCAAAGCTGCTAATTCTCGCTGATCTTTCCCAACCACTAACCGGTGCTCCTACCTGACAAGACATTGCCAATTCTACGTTATCACACCCAATCAGCCACAACAGACTGACAGAAG